GTTGGATGTTCTGGGTCTCTCTGACCCAGCTTCAGTTTGTTAGGTAATTTTCAGATTGCAAAGGGCCAGGTCATTCATATGCGAAAGCCTCTGCCACAGCTTGGGTGGGGTGGGGTCTCAGGGAGCAAACAGCTACGGCTGATCCTCAGCCCTGCACTAAGAGGCCCCGGGTCTCAGTGTCCTGGTAATCACTGCAAGCACCTCTGAGAGAAAGCTGCCCTTGAGTTCTGCCCGATGCCAGACAGTCCAGTTTCTCTCCGTATGAGTTTGGGTCCCCAGAGACGTGCCCAGAACTGGAGTTCAGAGAAGTTGGGAGCTTGTGTCTCCCTCCCGATTGAAAAAGACAACCGTGTTGTCCTCAGTTGCCAGCTCTTTCCGCGTGCGCCTCTGTACCTCTGCACTTTACTTCTGCACCTCCTCCGAGTCTCAGTGTGCTTTTCTCTTTCCTTCTAGTTGTAGAATTTCCACTCAGCCAGCCTTCCTGTGGTTCTGCATGATGTCTGTTTTGTCTTTTAGTTGTAGTTTTGAAGTGGTTGTGCAAGGCAGAAATTTCAGGTGTTTACGTATGCTGCCACCTTGGTTTCTCTCTCAGTAAGTATTTATTGCACTGAATTACATTAGTACCATTTCAATTTTTATGAAGCCACAAATGCTGATGCAGGTGTTCAGTAAGTGTCATTGCTATGTTACTGATGAAAACAGCCCACATAAATAGTATTACTAATTCCATATGCTAGAACTCAATTTTATAGGGTTAAATAATTTTAAGAGCTCTGGGAAGATGTACTATCAACCAAACTGATTATTTCTGTGAGAAGACTCACATTAAAAGGGTGGTCAAAGAGAGTTTTAATTTTATCTGTCATATTCTAGTGGTTTGAATGTAGAACCAATGTATATAACTAAAAATTAATAGTTTGAAAACTTTAGTCCTATTTCCTGAGACATAATGACCTTCAAGGAAGAGGAAAGGAGGGAGAAAAGGGAGAGAGAGAGAATGGAGAGATGAATTACTTAGGATAAGAGTTGTTTAAAGTTTTCTATTTTAGTTCTGAAGTGCTCCTTGAATAATCACTGCATGGATAGATGCCTTGAGCCTAGACTGAAAATAATGAGAGAGAAGAGCCACAGATGTAACTTACCTGGGGCCCAGAGTAGTTATATGAGTTAGTTCTCTTAGATTGGAGAAAACTAACAATTTTTAAATCAGAAATAAATTATTCAATCCTCTGTCGGCACTTACTGTTGCTTCAGCCACTGCTCCACAAAGGGAATGGAGAAGAAATCTGTGAATGGCTCCCCTGTCCTCTTTGGATTTTGGCTGGTCATGATGTCATATGTTTGATTGACAGGAAAACAATAAGGAAGAATTCAAGTCAATTGTTGCTATCCTGCTTGCAAATTAACATTATTGAATCTTTAGGGTCAATGAATATTCATGAAAAACTTACTTGTATAACCACTCAGTCAGAAAATCACAGGCAATGAATTTGGTCCTTTTCCTCTAAAGAGAGAAGAAAGAATTAAATAACATTCTTTGCTACGTGTCTGAGCAGGGCAAAGGACGAGAGGCTAACTGGTTGCTGTGCCACATGACACACATACGTGTCCTCCATGAAGCTCACAGCAAGAATCCTGAAGACGGTCTCCCATCCTCTGGATAAGCCAGGTTCTAGCAGCAGCGCTAATGAGAGGCAGGGCCCACAGTAGGGAGCTTATTACATGCTTTAGATCAGGGGTTCTCAAACTACAGGCCACATGCAAATACAAATATTGTATTTGTTCCCATTTTGTTTTTTTTACTTCAAAATAAGATATGTGCAGTGTGCATAGGAATTTGTTCATAGGTTTTTTTTTTAAACTATAGTCCGGCCCTCCAACGGTCTGAGGGACAGTGAACTGGCCCCCTGTTTAAAAAGTTTGAGGACCCCTGCTTTAGATCATTCTCAGGATTTATTTAAATTTCCCCCAGTTCACTCAAATCATCAGAACAGGTTACTCCAGGTCTAGGTGTCACTTTCAGATGTGGGAGCCACATGACAGGTGCACTGGGAGCCAGGCCCACAGGCGCACTGACCAGTACAGCCGACCCTGCCTGCTGCCCACCTAGAGCTGCTCGCTACGTCATCTGTATTAAGGAGCCTGACTATCAGAGCACAAATGATACGTCCCTGCCTCCCACGGAAGAAGGGATACAGTTCCGCCGATGAGATAGAAGTGGCCGTGCCCTGTGATTTCTCAGGAAGTTCTGCTCTTCATTTCTACCCCCACTCTCCCTGAAGTCTCCTCTACTTTCAGCTTAGATCACAGGTGCAGGGCTGGGTGTGCAGTGGCCAAAGCCACCTGCCGAAGATTGGGGAGCCATCTGCCGAAGACGGGGAAGCCGCCTGCCGAAGATGGAGGAGCCGCCTGCTGAAGACAGGGAGCAGTGAGTTCGGACCCTGGGCCTTTGATGACTTCCATGAGCCACGGCCTGACCTGCTCTGGACATCTCGACATGTAGGGAGAGAGAAACTTCCCTCAGGCTATTATCACTGTTCTTGAGTTCTCCTCACATGCAATTGGATGCAGTCCCTAGGCAACAGAGAGGCTTGGAAACCACAGGGAAACGTCCTGGAGTCATGGAGAGAAGGCGTGGGCTTCCGGTAGTGCACTAGGTACCCTGCCTCCCAGTCCATTTCAAGTCTCTTGTTACCCAAACAACCAGTCACCTTCTTTTAGAGACTTGATTCTACCCGGGAGGTGGAGGGTGGCTCTCCTTTAGGAGGACAGGGCTCATACACAGTCAATCTAGAGGCACAGGTGGTCGGGTGCAGGGCTCCTGCCTGAAGGAAGGCTGCACAGGGTCTGCTTGAAGCCTCTTGCTGACCCAGGTCTACCCTGCACCCTGCCCAGCCTCCGGAGGCTCATTTTATGGTTCACATCAACCAGCTCCTTTCCTAACACCAATGGGAGGTGTTAGGAGATCTGAGAGGGGAGAGGAGAAGGCAGGTGCTAGGGGTTGAGTTGTGCCCCCACCCTTCTAATTCACTTATTGAAGTCCTAACCTCTGATATTTCAGAATGTGATGTATTTGGAAACAGGACATAGCAATTCCAAGGAGAGTGAACAAATACACCTATACTCCCCAAACTATTCCAGAAAAAATCCAAGAGGAAGGAACACTTCCAACCTCTTTTTAAGAGGCCAGCATTATCCTAATTCTAAAACTAGATAAAGACACTACAAAGAAAGAAAGGTACAGGCCAATATCCTTGATGAACGTAGATGTAAAAATCCTCAAAAAATATTAGCAAATTGGATCCAGAAATATATTAAAAAGATCAAACACCATGACCAAGTGGGATTTATTCCAGGGATGCAAGGCTGGTACAATATCCACAAATCAATAAATGTGATACATCACATGCTGGAGGCCAAAGCATAACGGCATTTAGCATAAAAGTGCAAAAGAGACATTGGAAGGCCAATGGACCTTGATCCCAGCAGGGCTGGAGTCAACACAAGATTGCGCCTGCTGTGATTGTGATGGCTCGAAGCGATTTCCTAAACTGATAATCTTTACATTGCATACCAGACTTTACCTTTGATCTGCCTGTATGCATTGCTAAAGGACAAACGAGTATTCAAAGTGAATAAAAGCAGATAGGACCCAGTCTTGTTGAGCCTCTTCATGAAAGATGTTCCCACCTGGCCCCCCCAATACCTTCAAAATTCATATTTCCTATATAGTGTACTCATTGTGTCGATGGCCCTCCTTCAAGTCATCCTGAGCCTGCCGTGAAGGTCGCAGCAATCACATAAACAAATTGAGAGACAAAAATCACATGATCAATGTTGTGGGTTCACTCAGTGAGACAGACCACCAACTCAGAATTTAAATTTAAGAGCCTTTATTAAGCTGGCCAGCGACTACAGTTACAGCACCCTGCTGAAGCAGAGGCTGAACTGCAGCAGTGACTGCGAGTTATATTTTATTATTAAATTCTGTGGAGGTCCAGAGAAAAATGTCTCTTTCAAATTCTGGGCCCCCCATATGGAGGAAACTCTCTTTATTTTATACTTTTTCCAGTCCTTTTATAGCTAATATCATACTCAATGGTCAAAAACTAAAACCATTTCCCTTAAGAACAGGAACAAGACAGGGATGCCCACTTTCACCATTCCTATTTGACATAGTGCTGGAAGTCCTAGCCATAGTGATCAGACAAGAAGAAGAAATAAAAGGCATCCAAATTGGAAAGGAGAAAGTAAAACTCATTATTTTCAAATGACATGATATTGTACACAGAAAACCCGAAAGACTCCACGAAAAAACTACTAGACTTAATAAATGAATCTGACAATGTAGCAGGATACAAAATCAACACCCCAAAACTGATGGCTTTTTTATAAACTAATAATGAATTCTCAGAAAGAGAAACTAAACAAATAATCCCATTCACCATTGCAACAAAAATATTAAGATACTTAGGAATGAACTTAAACAAGGAGGCAAAAGACCTGTATTTGGAAAACTACAGGACATTGAAAAAAAGAGATAGAAGAAGATATAAACAAGTGGAAGAATATACTGTGTTCATGGATTGGTAGAATCAACATCATTAAAATGTCCATACTACCTAAGGCAATCTACAGATTCAATGCAATCCTCATTAAAATACCAATGGCATATTTCACAGATCTAGAGGAAACACTCCAAAAATTTATATGGAATCAAAAAAGACCCCAAATAATTGCAGTAATCTTGAGAAAGAAGAAGAAAGTAGGAGGAATCACAATACCAGATATCATGTTGTACTACAAAGCCACTGTAATCAGAACAGCCTGGTAATGGCACAAGAACAGGCGTATAGATCAAAGGAACAAAACAGAGATCCCAGAAAATTGACCCAAGCCATTTCCTTCAATTAATATTTGACAAAGGAGGCAAGAGAATACAATGGAGTAATGATAGTCTTCTGTTGATAAAACTGGATACATGTAAAAAAATGAAATTAGACCACCAACTTACACCATACACAAGAATAAACTTAAAATGGATAAAAGACTTAAATATAAGTTGTGAAACCATAAAAATCCTAGAAGAAATCACAGGCAACAAAATCTGACATTTCTCATAGCAGTATGTTTACAGATACATCTCTTAGGACAAAGGAAACTAAGGAGAAAATAAACAAATGGGACTATAAAAAAATAAAAAGCTTCTGCACAGCAACATAAACCATCAACAAAATGAAAAGGGAGCCCACTGTATGAGAGAACATATTTGCTAATGATACATCTGATAAGGGGTTAATATCCAAAATGTATAAGAAATTCATCCAACTTAACAAAAGGAAGACAATACAATTGAAAAATGGGAAAAGGACATAAATAGACACTTCTCCAAAGTGGACACATAGATGGCCAAGAGACATATGAAAATGCTCATCAGAGAAATACAAATTAAAATGACAATGAGGTATCACCTATCAGAATGGCTACCATCAACAAATCAACAAATGACAAGTGCTAAAAATCAAACTTAAGCTACATAATCTTTACTTAGGATAATCTCCTTCACTTACTTCCTTGTAGTTTAACAGAACAGTAGTGACCTTAGCATGGAGATAACAAACTAGCCCTCACCTTTGGAATGGAATGGATAGTATTAAAATCAACAGAACTAGATGGAGATGGGATTTTTGGCATAGGTCAGATAAGAACTATGGACATGAAACAAGGAACTGTAGAAGGTCAAGGGTGTAGGGCACGGCTATAGGGTTAAGCCTCAGACTGACCTGTTGGCAAAGTCACAAACAAGTCCCAGCTTAGAGGGCACAGTCCTC